CGCGGGGGGGGGCAAAGGCCCCGGAGCGCCGGCCGCTCCTCCCCGCAGCCCCGGGGAGTTCTCGTGCAACTGGAAGGCGCTGCGGGAGGTGAGGGGAGCGGGGGGGACGGGCCTGGGGCAGCACGGAACGCAATCCCACCTTCAGGTGCTAATTAAATCGTTAATGAGCATCGTGTCAATGAAGCTGGGACCTCCTGCGATTCCTCCAGAGCTAAAGATGCTGCGTCTGTGGGCCCCGAACCCTCCGCAGCCCTGCTGGGGTCAGAAATAAGGACAATAATCCTTTTTATCCCCTTTTTTTGTTTCATTTTAGCTACTGAAACAAAAGGCAAATAGCTCCGGTGAGCCCCTCTCCACACTCAGCAAAAAGAAGCAGCCCCTGAAGGCAGGGAAGAGCCAAGAAGTCCCAGTGATCAATGGGAATGGGGTGAAGGCCAAACCCACCCAAAGCACGGACAGTGGTTCTGCTCAAGACAGTCCTCCCAAGGCAACACCCAAGAGGGCTGCAACAGACAAGAGTTTAAGTGGCACCAAAAGCCACGGGAAAGGCTGCAAAGAGAAGAAGAAAAATGGGAATATTTTACAGGAGAAAAGTGATATCAAACATAAGAGGAGAAAAGCTGAAGAACACGTGGAGCAGCAACCCAAAGAGTGAGTATTTCAGGCATCATACTTGTATGGGAGTATTTATTTGGGGAGGTGAGCACAGGGCAGAACATTCCAAACAGATGCACTTTTCCAGGCTAAGTTTTGAGAGCAATAAGACACGTTCTGCCTGTGCCTCTCAGATACAGCAAAGAACTCACACAGGTGACAGGACCAGACTCCTTTTCACAGAACCAATGTCTTAATTTCATAAACATGCTTTTTCTACAGTATAAAGATGCAAGACTCCTTTCAGACTGCTAAATATAATTTAATCTGTACTTACCAGGGCTGAAATCTGGTTTGATGATGTCGATCCAAAAGATATTGAAGCAGCAATAGGACCTGAAGCAGCAAAAATTGCTAGAAGAAATCTAGGACTTGAAACAGATGAATCCAAAAAGGCTGTGGAACAGGTGCTAGTTAATGAAAATGCATCTGAAGGGTAAGTGGCTTTCCAGGGGGAAGGGTGGCAGCAGATATCTTCTAATAAATGTGAGTTGCAGGGGCACAGCTCAAGCTGACATCTCCATCAGTTTCCTCTTTTTTCTGTGAACCTGGTGGACTCCACCCTGCAGTCCCTAGAGCAGAGGGGTCACCAAGCTGTCCTCTCTTGCAGGCTGACCCGGGCTGTAGCCATGGACTGTGAGATGGTGGGAGTGGGACCCAAGGGTGAGGACAGCATCGTGGCTCGTGTGTCCATCGTCAACCAGTTTGGGAAGTGCATTTATGACAAGTATGTGAAGCCAACAGAAGAGGTGACAGATTACAGGACAGCTGTCAGTGGCATTCGCCCCGAGAATATAAAGACAGGTAGGAGGCTTTTTTTCCCCAGAAAATGTTTTTTAAGGAAGGAAAATTTAACAGGCAGAAGTCTCCTTGGGTGAGCTGGGAAAAGTTTTAGGCCTCTTTTGGGAAATGGAAAAGCAAATGTTGTCTGAATGCTCAAGAAAAAATGTGGTCACTAAGGCCCTAGAAGAAATTAATTTGTGGATTATGGTATGGGAATAATAGAAAGTTTGTCCTTTTAGTGCTATGCTCTTTGGGAAATTCTCTGTGCACTTCCAACAATCAGAGGATTTGGTGCATTGAAGAAGTTTGTAACTACACTCCCAAGGATACAGCTGCTTTCACAGAAAAGATGCTGAAGACAACTATGCATTAGAAGTGTAGTTTGCTAACTCTTTCCTATTTTTAGGTGAAGATTTTAAAACAGTGCAGAAGGAGGTTGCTGAGATCTTGAGTGGAAGGATTTTAGTTGGTCATGCTTTACGCAATGATCTAAAGGTAGGTGGCTGCATCTTTGTTATTTTGAAGGACAAGGCTCCAAGAATTTAAGTTTTAATTACATTTCTGATACATCATTCTGGATCAGCTGAACACCACTGAACTCCTAGGAACTTTATCTCAGTTTCTTGTCATTTCCTGCTGCACCAATGACAGCCCTAGTCACTTCCCCACCAAAGTTCTTCAGCTTCCAAGCTGTGTTGCTAAAAGCACTGATCTGCCTCCTGAAGAGCCAGGAAAGAAACATAATAATGAGAAACAGTTTGGACACTTTGCTGAGCCCCAGCAGCCTGGTCCTGGTGACCAGAGCCAGGTGCTGCCCCAGCACTGCAAGCAGTCTCTCCAGATTCAGTTATTTCTCAAAGTAGAACTGGGGTTGTTCGATCCAGCAGGTGACTGGATGATCTTGGTCTTGTCCATTCATGGCTTTGAACTGTTTCTTGGATAGAAGGAAAGAGCAGGGAGCTGCACAAATTTCCATGCAACAGAACATTTTAGACTTGGACATTAATTTGTTCTAGGTCCTGTTTCTTGATCATCCTAAGAAGAAGATACGTGACACACAAAAGTACAAGCCTTTCAGAGAGAGAGTCAAGGTAAGAAGCTGCCAGGAAGGTGAATCTCAGTTAACTGATTCTTGAGCTGCTGGCTCACTTCTATGTGTGTCCCTGCCCAACCCTGTTCCTTCATTCCTACCCAGAACAGGGATGCCTGCTTTTTTTTTGTCATGTGAAAATACTAGTCCAATCAAATACTTGCCTGGTGTTTGAAATATCTCAGAAAGGTGCTCAGTTCAGTACAAAATTTACCAGTAACACCTGTGCACAAAATTCAGTGGCTCTCCCATTCTTCAACACTTGTGTGGTCTTCATAATGCTTTTCTGGATGGCAAAACAAGATGGTAGAGTTCTGACAGTGAGGCTTACGCCATCTTCTTAATGGTGTTGTTTCCAGAGGGATACAAAAAAACTAGTTGGCTTCAAGTTTCTGCTTGAACTGCAGGAGTAAAGGTTCAGATTATAGGGAGATATTTTAAGTTTTGTCTCTTTATACCCAGTTGTGTGTTTTTCCCCACAGCAAAGCATCCCAAACATAAATCTTTAGTGTTATGGCAATACACAAAATCATCTCAGAAGTGCATCCATGAATCTCATAATAATTCTTGACAGTTTACCAGTAATAGCTGAGATGTGCTATTCTTCAAGGAATACACTTAAACTAATTTTTTATATATACATACATTTATGTGTATTTCAAGTACTGGGAGGTACCATAATTCCATCTTTCCTGTTTCTAGACTGGCCGGCCATCCCTGAAGCTGCTCTGTGAGAAGCTGCTTAACATTCAAGTGCAGACATCAGAGCACTGCTCGGTACGTGGCTCATCAGACCATACATTTTGGGGCAGATCAGCAAGGTAGAGCACATGAGCTCTAGTCTCCAAGACTCTGTATCAAGAGTATTTTTCCATTATGGTTTCCCAGTCACAATAAGAAATAGGAGCGTGTGGCCTTGTGGAGGGTGGTGCATTCAGAACATATCCCCTTCCACTAGTCATAGAACCAAATCTAGAGAGATATCATGAAATGTTAATTGGAAACCATGGAAGATGTAGCTGGTTGTTAACAATAAGCCATGTTCTTAAACCATGCCAGGTATGTTTCATTAGGCCTCCTTTTCTCTTTTAGATTCAGGATGCACAAGCAGCTATGAAACTGTACACCTTGGAGAAAAAGAAATGGGAAGCTGCTCTTAAGAACAAACCTAACAACAAAAAATGTAAAACCTGAATGATTCTACCCTGTGTATTCATCTGCACCATTTGCTGGTTTTATGTCACATTCCAGGGCAAATTTAGAGATGACTCAGAACTGACAGCAGCTACTTCATAAAAAACAAAAGACAACTCTTCCTTACCTGGTACATGGCAGCTGCCATACTGGAATAGTGCTGTGTCCCTTTGTGGATGGTGCCTCTTCCTAATGCCTTCTACTGTCTTTAAACACTTGTAACAAATGCCTGCATTTGTGAAAGGCTAACATAAGTTCAGTTTCTGCAAAGGAAATATACACTGAATGATTAAAAAGAACAAGTGTTTTTAAATTACAATAGATGAAGGAAGAAACTGTCATTACTATGCTGAAGCTCCCATAAAATCTTTATTTAAATATTTAAGTTGACTAAGGTGAATTATTAATTGTTGCCATTGGTCTCATAGTTGTACTTAAATCAACAGAATATATAACTTTATGTATTGTTAATGGTCCAGTATTCTTCTCTCTGATGAGAAAAGTATTTTAAAATATTTCTGGAGGATCCAAGGTTTTCTATCTGAACCAGAAGTGGACATGTCCTGTTCTTACACACAAAGTTTTTCTTCTTCCAGTTTCAAAAGTGTTGCATCCACAAGGGTCATTATCTCCTGGAGAGAAATGTGAGAATCATCAGATACAAGATTAGCTTGTTGCTTTACTTATTTTTACATTCATTTATTAATAAACACACTATGTCTAACACAGGCCTTTAAAGCAAGTACTATTTTAAACGGATGTTGGGTCTGATTCAGCAAAATCCAAAGCATCTGTAATTACCAGACTGATGCTGTGATTTAAGTCACCTAAATGGCTTCTGGAAGGTAAGAAGAAGGGGGCCTTGGAGATTTAGCAGTTGTGTATTTCACACCGGATTGCCAGAAGGAAAGTGCTCGGGCCTTGTCTGCCTGTCAGCAGGGGGAACAATGAATCGTTTACAACAGAAGAGGGAGCTTCTCTTTTGAGATTCTTTTTCTGCACTACCTCATTAGCCGCAGGGTCCTTGACACTGGTGCAGGCGATGCCTGCAGGAAACAGTGGAGGACAAGTTTGCCTGTCACTGTCTTGGAGACAAATGTAAACAGACTAACTCCAGAACCAAAAGAGCAAAGTTATAAGACTAACCAGTTTTGTTGGCTTGATGCATAAACTTGTAACATTTCATGACAACAAGCCATCACAAAGGAAATACTAGTGTAACACCTTCAATAGCTTGAATAACTTTGCTGTTTCTGGTGTTTCAACAGTTAATTTTTCCAGTATGAGTACTCGTTGGAATTTAATACAAGTTAAATCTTCAGGCAAACTGACACCAGCATTTTGTTGGCTGTTTTTTTGGGTTTTTTAAGGATGCCACTTACAAAGCAAAAATAATTGGATGTAATATATTTATTCCTGTAAACTTCAGCCTGTTTTAGTATGAAGAATGTAGTAAATTAATGCAGTGTTGCAAGAAACCAGAACATAGTTTTGAAAAATTACAGCATCAAGAACAAAAACACCCTTTCAGCTACTTGTTTTCAGAAGTCAGAAGTACTTTTACAAGCTCCCTCTTCATCCCATCCTAATTCTGCAAGTTTCTCCACCTATCTGAGCATGATAAAATCCATAATCAGAAGCAGTACACTGAGCATCCACCCTTCATTATCACAGCGACTTCTACCTACTGTGTTAGATGAAAAACGGAGTTTTATTTCAAACAGAGGGAAGTTAAGATGAAGTTACCAAGGTATATCAGAGGGGCATTTACAACTCTTAAATAACAAGTGGGATGGACTCCCAGTTCCAATCCTGAGAGGAAAGACCACATCTCTGAGCAGCTGCTGTTTGCGTTTTCTTTACTATCTTGGGGATGAGGGAGGGGAAGAGACTGGACCATCACCATCTCACCATACTGAACCATCTCGTTCATCAGCACACAGATACAATTCACCACTCTAGTATCATCAAAGTGAAGCTGGTAGGCATCTCTGATCAGGTTTATTCCACTGCCTTTTGAATCCGTAAGAAGTTTCAAAGCTGGTATTTCTGAAAGGAAGATAAACACTGCTGGGCTAATTGGTAGCTGCAGGCTGTGCTATCTGCTTTCCAATCCCCTGCTCCAGCTAGAACATATGTTAATATTTTTCCAGGAAATAATTTCCATTCTTTTCAGCCTTTCTAAAAGCTATTTTGAGGCATATTTGGGCAACAAGTAGATCATGCAGCTGACACTCACGTGTGGCAGAAGGGATGTTTACTGTTTTCACATAGATTGAGCTCTACCCTTTTACACAGTTGAAATAACTTCATTGTAAAACTGTTGTAAGTGTTCAAGTGTTTTAGTTAGATTAGTAACTTAGATCAGATTGTGCTGATCTAATATTTCTCATACACACATGCCTGGGAAGAAAAAAATTTGCACCTCCAGTTCCACCATTTCCTCTTCCAGTCCTTCTGGAAAAGATTAACTTGGACAGCAGATGCCAATCCCACTATGAACTCTTGAACTATACAGAAACATCCACTTCTGGGCTGATTTGCAATTAATAAGGAAGAATTATGAGTGTTACCAGATAGCCTTAGAAGGCTTGCTAGTGCCAGGCAGGAGTTCTTCACCACCATACGTCTCTCTGGGTTCATCCTGAGTGCAGCCAGAAGAAGTACTGTTGTGGGCTCATAGTCATTGTCAGTTAAGCAACCTTTAAAAACAAACACAAGCAAAACCCCCCCAAACTTCAATACTCTCAAAAGCCTTGAAAATGCTCATCAGCTTTTCAACTTCTGCCTCCTGTTTCTGCAATGTTTCTTTGATAAAAGTTAAAGAAAACAAATGGAAACCTGAACTGCAGTAAAAAAGGTCCAATGAAGCCTTCTCAGGAGCTGAAAAAGGTCTAGAAAAAAAAAAGTCTGGTACATCTTCTACATCAAGATTCCCTTTCATTTTCCAAGCCAAAAGGAATGGAGAGTCCTGAATACTTAAACTATTCTACTGGTGAGTACTAGAAACAAAAATTGCTTAGGGGGTTTTACACAACTCTTCCTAGGGGAATGCTGGCAGCAGTTAAACACAGGGCAATGTTCTTGCATGAGGAAGAGGTGAGAAAGCAGTGCTGCAAGGCTGCCTGCCTTTGAGAGCATGATAATGGAAAAGACAGGAGTTTATTTTTTGATCTGAAATGCTTATTTGTAATTTGCAAAGCAAATGGCATAAAAACAAACCTCCCAGCACATGTTGCATGACACTGGGGCTGTGTTCAAAGGAGCAGCACAAATGGGATTCTTGTTAAGAGAGAGGCCAGAGAGAATGCTCTGCAGAGCATGGGTCTGGTAGCTGCCCATCCTTACAGTGCCCATCCTTACAGTGCCCATCAGCAGCAGCAGCATCTACTTATCTAATTGCTGCAGCTCATCCAAAACAGCTTCATTAGAGATGTGTGCAGGGAAGAGAAGTTGAGAGGACCTAAATTCCTAACTCTGCTGCCATCTGCAGAGCCTGCTAAGGCCAAGCAGCATGGATTTCACAGATCACCACTTACAGGCACATGCCTTTTCCATGCACAAGTGAAAAGGGTTGTGGGAAAACCGACCTTGGAGTGACAATCCCCACAGAGCTGAGCAGGTGCCCATCAGCAGCAGCAGCATCTACTTATCTAATTGCTGCAGCTCATCCAAAACAGCTTCATTAGAGATGTGTGCAGGGAAGAGAAGTTGAGAGGACCTAAATTCCTAACTCTGCTGCCATCTGCAGAGCCTGCTAAGGCCAAGCAGCATGGATTTCACAGATCACCACTTACAGGCACATGCCTTTTCCATGCACAAGTGAAAAGGATTGTGGGAAAACCGACCTTGGAGTGACAATCCCCACAGAGCTGAGCAGGCAGACTCTGCAACTGTTCCATTCTGGAGGTGCTCTTGAAGGACTGCAGAGATGACAGGGACAGCACTTGCCAGCACCTCTTTGTCTACATTGTTCTCTGAATTACCATAACAAAAAGGAAATACATCAGTTATTTAGCCAAGTAATAGCATCATACATGCATTGTATGTCAAATTCTATCAATAAAAAGTTAATAAGTTATAGCATTAAGAGTAATGAGACATTGTTTTGTTATACAACAGCAGAAGGAAGGAATTTTAAATGCTCAAAAATCAAACAATAAGTTATGGCATTAACAGTAATGAGACATTGTTTTGTTAGACAAAAGGAAGGAATTTTAAATGCTCAAAAATCAAATTTTACAGGCCTAATAAATAGTAATTCTTATTGCAGAAAGTTGAATTTCTCCAGGAACTAGCTTTCTTCAGTATGTAAATTATATATGGGAATCACAGCAAGATACCTCCAAAAATAGCCCCCTTTTTGACAAACAACCTGTGGGATGGGTATTTAGGGGGTCACACAAGTCAAACAGGTGTTTTGTTGCAAAGAGGGAATAAACCACACAAAGTGCAGTTATGCCCAGTGCTGTGCTTTCAGCCTTCCTTGATGATTACAACCACACACCTATACAAGATGTCACAGAAACAAACCCCCTAAAGAACTCCAATAATGGTCTCACAAGAGGGGGGGTCAGCTCAGTCACCCCTGGCTCTGCAGCACTGTGGGATGACACTGGGTTAGTTCTAAGGCAATGGAAAGAGAACACTTGCCACCTTGCCAATCATATGGGGTTTGGTTTTTTTGGAAAAGCAATCCTCTAAGTCTCCAACTCACGATTTAGCCCAGTGCTGCCAAGAGAAGTGTGATGCAGAGAAATAAGATGCTATTAATTCCAAATGCTATTCTGATACCTAATCTAATATGCTGTATGCACTGTAATCCCTCTGCTAAAAGCAAAACCAGATGACTGACAAACCAGAAACTGTGTGTACCCTTCAGTGCTGAGGCTGTTCATGAGTCACAACTTGGCCTAAACAATAAAGACTTGAATTTTGACACAGAAAATGATGCTAAGAAGTTGGCATTAGCTTTTCATTTTCCCTGATTTAACTCTGAATCGTTAAAGTTACTCCAGCAGTTCTGTGGAGACATCTCTCCATAGTGGGGTAAAAAGAAAAATGCAGTCCCTGCAATGGGAATGTCTGAACTCAAGGAGGCACAAACCTGCTGCCATTCAGGCACAAAACTTGCTGTGTTCCACTCACCACTCGCTGCCAAGCTCCAGAGAACTCCACAGCAAGAGAGGCAGATCTGTTCATTATGGAGAAAATTTCTTAAAACTGACAGAAGGTCTGGAATGAGTTCAACTTGCCTTAGAGTCTCTGCAGCAGATTCTGAAAAACACAGAAAAAGAAATCCTCTCTGTCCTGGTTTAAGCTAGGACAAAGCCAGTTTTCTTTTTGCTGGCTCAAACCAGGACACTATAGAATCTGATCTTTTTGTCCCACTCCCTGCCCTCACAGCAGACAGCACCAACTATTTCAACAGGAATAACAGACCAGTAACATGATACCACCAGCAGGACAAAAGAAAGCAAGAGTTCAGATCGAATTCTTTACCAAGATACATTTAAGCACAGAGTTTAGCACAAGTGACCCTTTCAGATGGGTGCTTCATCATTTTTCTTCCTTACAGATCTGAAACCTACAGAACAGAAAAGGAACTGAGAGGGTCTAAATTACTACTTTTCAAACGTTTGCAATTTAGCAATTCAATCTACCTAAGCTTCAGAGTTAGAAAACACTGCACAAAAGTAGTTTGGTCTTAGATGGTAAGTTTATTTGGACATGACACTTGGTGGTTTGTTTTGGTTTGTTTTTTTTTTAAGATTATCCCCTTGTTTCTAAATCCTTCTATAACCATTTATAAAAAAATCACCTGATGACAGTTGAACTGACACTGAAAACAAGTGAAAAATACTATAAATATTTAGCAATTACAATCTCTAGAGAAAAACCCAAGTAGAGAAATTAGGTAGAATGGTTTCAATTCACCCTGGCACAGCCAAAAATAGAAACCAGGCTCTATGCCCTCATTTTCCCAAGCACCACTAGCATGTACTGCTTTCCAAAACAAGATGAAATACAGGACCACCCTAACAGATAAAATTCTGTAGGCACCTGAAGCCTCAGTAGCCTATGTTATACTTTGAGGAGATTTATTTTACCAATATCTAGTCAGTCTTACAAAATATTGTCATTATTAATCTAATTTCTGCAGACACCCACACCTCTCAGTGAAGTCACAAGTTCTGCAATGATGTCTTGGATTAAATTAGAAAAGTAGAAAAATAAGAATAGTCCCCCCAAAATTAACAAGGTGACTCACCACTGACTGAAATCATCATCAGTAGTGTGCAGATCAGTGAAAGCAGCTCTTCATTTTCAGAGTGTCTTCTCAGGATCTCTAACAGACAGCTGGCCACGTTCTCCTCCAAGGTCACCGATGCATCTTCTTCCAGAGCTGTCAAAAGGAAACATGTGGTCAGAACAAGAGATTTCAGTGGCTTTAAATGAAGCCTGAACCCCCTGCTGTCATCATAACATTCAATTAACAGTATTTCTTCATGTAGCATACCTAAAAGCTCCTTCAAATTTTCTTTTTCTGAAACAATTCTTACTACTTTTAATCCTGTATCATGTTTTACTGGGGTAACCTGCCAAGAAAGCTACAGCAGGGATGACACAAGATCTAAAAGTATTCTACACTTTTATGCTTTGAAATTCAAATATCAGAGCACTAAGAGTCTCTTAATTATGCACTCTAGTAACATGCTACATAATTTGAAAAACTTAGTAGCCCAGGATCAGATCTGGACTTAAAATTAACAATATCACAGGATTCATGCATGCCAGAAAGCCCAAGAGAATCTAGACTCTTAATAAAGCTGGCTAGATTACTCCATTACTTTAAATTTCTGCCCTTAAATCATTACTGAAGTCACTTCAAACCTTACCTGCTACATCTAAATTTGTAAGAGGTAAGCTTTATCACTCAGTGTAAGTTGGAAGCTTCATAACTGTACCTTGACTAAGAATTGAAAGCAATAAACTGCAAGCTTCTACTTGGATCCTGAGGGAATCTATGTGAGTCTTCATGGCAAAGACAATAAATTCTGTGAATGCCAGCAGGCAGAGCAGGGCTGGGGGGAAAGGACACAATTTGAGACAACACTCAGTCACACAGCTTGGAAGTCTTGGTGGGTCTCTGTGCTCCAAAATTACAAGAGTTGCAGTTTCAAATAAATTTGAGTCCCTACAGATGATGTGATATGGCAGAACAATACTCTTGAATCAAAAGATAACATGCAAGTGAAGAGGGAACAACAGAGTGACTTCTGCAGTCACTATGGCTCATTAAAGACTGCTGCAAGATGACAAAAATTAAGTGTAGCCAGCACCTTCCTCATGAAGTCCCACTGGCATTGTCACTGGTCGTGTAGCAAGTTGTGAGGTAGAACATTGTGCATGAGTCCAAAACCATACTTTTCAGAAACTGTGAAGGGAAGTATTTCACCTCCTAGTTGTAGGAAGGCTCTGAGCATTTGGAATAGCTCATAAAGCTATTCAGTGTATCCACAAATACATGATAAAATGTGGAGAAAACACACTGGATGGGTTTTCAGGATCCATTTTCAGCACCTTTAAAGATGTGAGCATCAGTCATGGTAAGCAATGCAGAAGTGTCAAACAGGTCAGTCAAGTGTGCGCACAGCCTTGTATTCCCATCAACAGGAAGGAAGGAGAAATCACAAAGATGCATTAATTTTGTTATTTACAAGAAAATCTTGCTGTATTATTGAGTAAAGACTCCTCTAGGAACAGAATTGAAGATGTAGGTACCTCTAATGAAAGTAAAGAAAGAGCAGAAGAAATAAAAGTATAAAATAATTGCCTTACCACTTCTATCACTCAAAAAGCTGGCAAGTTTTTGAATGGCTTTAGCTTGTGCTTCTTCAACATCCCAGAAAACCTTCATGAAAACTACAAAAAAACCAAAATTCTTCTGACCTTACAAGAACTTAAAAAGCACTCAGTTTTTCTCTATTTTGTGCAAGGTGTGAATTCCTAGCAATGAAAATAATGTAAACTACAATTGTTGAAATGAGAAAAACTTTTCCCCTAACACCCCCCACATATCCAAATTATGAAGTGTTGTGATTCACCTCTAAAAAGTGTATTTGGCATGATGAATTTCATTGGAATATTAAATCCATGACCTGTAAAGGCATTTTTCCAATAGACTTCTCAGATTAAGAGAATAACTTTCTTACTTGGAAGAAAAAGAACAGAGCAGAGGTTTGGCATAAACTGCCAAACATGTTAGAATGCAGACAAAATAAGTGGGGCTCCCTGATCTTTCAGAATAAAAATCTGACCCCACTTTCCTTGTGCAGAAGGTATGGCTGGTGATCCCACAAGGTTCTAGAAAAGGCTGTAATCTTTTCTCCAATTAACCTCCCATTTAATTTCAAGCAAAATGAATGTCCAATAATTAATTTTCAAGTAGAATATATGCTGACTGGAAAACGTGTTGTTAAAATCCCCCATTACAATAGCCTTGTTTTCATTATTACCTAGAATAATTCTGTATTCTCCCTCAAGGAGTAAATCCATTATCTGGGGAGACAAAGTCTTCTTTATATTTACTGAAGAGGCACCAGTAATACTCAGGCATTCTGAAATAAGTGGGACATCAATCAGATCCCTAGAATTACAAGACACAAAGCAGTACCAGTAAGTGAGAACAGGCAAGTTACAATAAGTTCTACAGGCTTTGTTTCATTTTTGTATTAAAAGCTAATTACACTTCTTTGAAGACTGGATTATTTTTTACAGAACTTACACAATTACTTCAAAACTGCTAAAGAGAGAGAACATTGAGCACACCACACTGAGGCTTCAAGTGAATGGCTTGTAAAATTGCATATAACATGATTTTATAATGTAACTCTTAAAAAAACTCATCTCAGAATGCTCTCTTCTGAACAAATACCAAGTCTGACTGTTTTAATATCTCCATTTCTTGAGGCAGCAAGATCAGCAACCTTGACTCAATCTCTTTCAAACAGTAGCTCCCATTTCCCTCTTTGTGAAGGGAGCTGGGGTGTAGGGCAGAAAAACAAAGGGAAAGCATCCAGAACTCACATTGCTGTGGGTCTCATGCTGGGCTGAATCTGTAGCATCATAATTAAAATCGGAAATAAAGGCAAAGAGATGTCATCTCCATTTGACATTAGTGTCTCGACTTCATCAAGATGGCTGGAATCCTCCCTGATATCCTGCAGCAAGGAAGTTATCTCTTCTGCCTGTAGAGTACAGGATCAGCAGAGCTTTCACACACTTGTTTAGAGATATCCTGAGGAGCCTGTGACATTTTCAATCTTAAATGGAACATTATTACATACATTCAGAGCAAAACAGGTTGCCATGTCAAGCAGAATACAACCCAGAGACCAGATGTCAGATTTCTCAGTAAAAGAAAAATCAAGTGTTTCTGGAGCCATCCAGGACTTGTCAGCTGTTGAAATAAGAATCATACAGCAATGGTGCTGACATTGAACTATACAATTGATTGCAAATGCATGAACAGCAGGACTTTGTTTTATGTCTAAAATTAATTCAGAGATCCTCTGCAGACATTAGGCATTTTTTTACTGGTGATGTCACAAGAGACTAAGAAAAACACTAACTCAAGAATAATTTTCTAAAATGCTACTGCTTAGGTATCAAGCTAGGAAGGATTCCAACTGTATCTGCTGCAGAGCTCTGGGACTCAGACATTTATAATTTTCAGTTGTGAGCACAATTAATCCTGCAGGCAACTGCTTGTGAATAACCTATTCATATTTGAGAAGACAATATAATGCAGAGAAGGAGGAGGAAAGATTTTTTTTTCCCTCTTTGGCTGATTTTTCTCTGAGGACTAAAAATATTCACCATAACTGAAACTTTTTAAAAATACAGTAAAAAAAAAGAAACGCAGTTACTTTCTTCCACTCTTATTTTCCATTTCATCTTATCTTTCATAAGTGTTTCTGTACTGAAGTCACTAAGAATAAAGGATTCTTCTTCAATCACAAGGATGTTTGATGGCTTGAGATTTCTGCAACACAAATATTTTCTGTCAGCCTGTGAAATCAGCCTGGTGATCAGTAAGTTACAGGTTCCCACCAGCCTTCCACTAAGAAGGTTTGAGTATTTTAGGGAGGGGGGAGTCTAGGCGGGGTGAAAAGTTCAGAGGTTTTTTTGTTTGTTGTTTTTGGGGGGTTTTTTTTAGTTTTTTTTTAATTATAACCAAAAGAAATACCATTATTTTCTTTTACTGTGCAATGCTTTAAAATTTCTGATTGTGACACCAATTTATGTGAACTTGGAAGGCAACAGCTGTCTCTTACTTTAGATACACAAAGTATGCCTTGCCCAGCACAGCCACCAAAAAACATTAAGAGATATTAGGTATTCAAATATTAAAGTTAATAAAACTAATTCAGATATGAACTGCAGATTTTTTTTAGCTCCTATTCCCCCTTTTTCGAACAGTAAAAGTCACTGTCTCTGAGCAGCTATGCTGAACCAAGAGTGATCAGTGACTTACCAGTTAGAATTTTAGCACATTCAGAAAAGCAGAGATAACATCTCAAACAAATGGATATTCTAGACAAAATTTAATAAATAAATTCTTCAGAAGCCACAGAAAACTAATTCAGATATGAACTGCAGAATTTTTTAGCTCCTATTCCCCCTTTTTTGAACAGTAAAAGTCACTGTCTCTGAGCAGCTGTGCTGAACCAAGAGTGATCAGTGACTTACCAGAATAAGAGAACAAGATTTCTACTCACCCGTGGAAAATACCTTGCATGTGTACATAAAACAAAGCATCCACAATTTGCCCCAGGAACCTCATCATCACCTGTTGAGGGGAACATATGTGGAAGTCTAACATAAACAGAGTCACTTCCAAATATCCTTTGGAAGATACCACCCTCCTGCAAAACACTGTGCTTTGAAGATTTTAAGAAGGACTTTGAGAAAGAGAGAAGGCAGAGAAAGAAATATAAAAGCAGTGGGACTGTCAGTTCAATCAGATGCCAGTATTTTTACCATGTAATTTATTTTTTCTGACTTCTGCCTTTTTTCCTCGATTAGAGAGGAAAGATCTCCTGTGCCCATGTGCTGCATCACCAGACAAAGGAACAGAGATGATATCTGTAATAAAACAATACACCAAATGGTCCATTTGCAGGTAATAACATACCCAGTAAGAAAGATAAAACCAAACAGGTGGGTGTGGTGTTCACCAATACCAAGGTGCTCTGAGGTGATGAATTTCTCAGAGGAGACAGTATTTACTTTATTAAAAACACAGCATGTTTGTAACTCCTTTTAAAAAAAATATCAAGCACCTTATCTGAAGCTATATGGGACAGCTCAAGTCACATACATATCCATAAATCAACACAAATTATCCCCCAGCACTGAATAAAATCTGCAGATAAGTCAGGGCTTTCAGCTTCCTATTGTCTCCTACAAAAGGGTTTTCAGGCATGAAAATCAGTATAACACACTGATTAACATGAAAATCTGTGAGTCAGCAGGCAATGCTGCCTTGTGATGGACTCCAACCCAACTATCTTCACAGCTTTTCAGTAAGTTCATTAACAGGTTAAAGAAATCAGGCTTGTTTCAGATCAAATACTTTTTTTTAGCACTTCACACTAATGATCCCTAATTTAAACCTGCTAAAATGCTTACCTGCCTACAACATGGATCATGTGTTTCAGTTTAACCAATCCTATGTCATTCTCACCTCATTATCCCAAGTCATAAACAATTCCATGTAAGCACAGATGCGTGGATGATTAAGTTTTAGCAACTCCATTGCCTGCATAGAATAAAAAAAAAAGAGAGCTTTCTGTAACTACAGTCCTTCTCATTAACAGGACTCTAAATAATATCCAAAGCCAGTTCTTGAATTGCTCATCAAGTCTGATCTAATTGTGTCTGTGTTACATAGTTTCAATTTCTGTTATATAGTTGCAAACACAAGTGTCAAGTTAAGGAAAATGTTTCATTAAGACTCTACTCAAGGCAAAACTGTCACAGCCCTGTGAGATTCAAGGACAAACTGATCCTTAGGGAAACGACTGTAAACAAACCCCTCTTTCAGTTCCTAACATCCAAACCTGACAACACATCTTAGAATATGGAAGTCGAGAGGATTTTTCTAGCATAGTCGTGATTTCCAGTAACCCCTGTGGAAGCTTGAACCTCAGAAAATATTATTACACTAGAGAGATGCATCTCTCCTTCACGATGGTTTCCCTGAAGGGCTCTAACAATTAGCAATTACTCCAGCAAATTTGCTGATGAGGTGAAAGGCAAAAAGAATTCAACTTCCTCTCCTACAGCTGTGTTTGTGGCTGTGCAGACACAACAGAAAATCTTCAATGCTCCCAGCTGGCACAACTGCATTTCTTGAAACAGACACACACATCAGCAGCAAAACTGGACCAAACCTGATCAGTAAAACCAGTCTCTGTACATGAAGAGGTCACCTCTCTTGAGTAGGATGAAGGACCTGTACAGACACATGTCCACACTCATTTACCACTGCAGAAGCCTTGCATACTGGACACTGGGAGACTAATTCATCAGGTAGTACTTCACATATTTTATTGAAAGAAATGTTGGCATTTTAATAGTATTTCTGAGGTTGTTTCTCACTCTAGTAATCAAAACAAGTTTGCACAAATAAAGGACAATGAAGGAAGAAAACCAGTCAAATCATTCTCATAAAAAAATTGTCCAACTCTAAGAAATGGGCATAGAATGAAATGTTTAGAAATTGAGTTATTAATAGCAAATTATAATCAGTTTCCCCTTTAGCTTGAAGGCCAAAAGGATGAGCTTTGCTCTTTGTCTTTAGCACAAAACAAACACAAACTCTGAAAAAAGGACTATCCCCTGAAAACAGGTGTTCATTTGAATCTACATATTAAAATACAAGAACAAATAATAAAAAAATTCTGCCCTGAGCTCAAACAGAGGACATGGAGCACACCCTTCAGATCCTCCTACCTGATTTACATTTTCATTGTTTACTTAGTTAATCCTTGCAGATAAAATACTTTATTCTGTTAAGACTTTGGTCTTTGTAAGTAAAACAGTAAAGAAAAACTACACTGATACCTCCTTCAAGGCCTCATTTGCTTGCTTTTCATCGATGCATTCAACCTGCACCAAACAGGACACAAGGATGAGATTGAAATATAGAGACAAACAAGCTTTAAACTAGAACAATCTTGCTAAGGTGACTGGAACTGCAAATTGTGTATTAACTGGCATAAGTTTTCAATGATAGCTGCAAACTCTAATGTTTGGAGAAGCCTTGGTGTCAGAAGATAACCAAACCCAGAACTTCAAATGAGTCCTTGACAGGCAGCCAATCCTCCTGCACTGTTGAAGTGCAGTAAGCTCAGGTGAAAACACACCACTCCCCTTCCCTCATTTTTCACCTAAATGTTCTAGTAAACTGATCTGAAACTTCTGATTTCCAAAACAGCAACACAGTAACGTGCAAGCCTGCTCTCACCCAGCAGCCAAGCTGCCTAACACGTTTGTTTCTGTTACCATCAGAAAGGCCCATGGAGATTATAAACATGCCAAAAGACTCTTGTTATCCTAGCAACCACCTCACCTTCTTTATCATATACATATCCTCCTCCTCTGTTTCTGCTTTCAATTTAGCTACCAGCATAGTGCCCAGGGTCCCAGGCTGCAGCTCCTCCAGCACCTGCAGGGCAGAGGAGAGACACTCAGGTTCAAGGAGTGAACAACCAAGGCAGAAAACTCCTTCAAACCACTTTTGGACAGACACCCTCCACACAGCACACATCTCCAGATCCCCACGGCCAGACCCCTGGCACCCCCTCTGCATCCCAGCTCTTGAGAGACACAGGCTTCCCTTCCCCCCTGGGACACGTAGGATGGTTTGGGTTGGAAGAGACCTTAAAGATCATCCTTAGGCTCCTCTCTTTTTCTCCCTTGCTGAGCAAAACACCCCCATCTCCTCAAGGCCTTCCATACCTCCATGCTTCCCTTTCCAGGATGGATCCTCAGGGCTTACACTCTCAACAAGACCACACGCCCCTCACTGGGGACACCTACACCTCCCGGGGACACCTACACCTCCCGGGGGGACACCTACACCTCCCGGGGGGACACCTACACCTCCCGGGGGGACACCTACACCACCTCCCCAGGGTCACTCCGGCGGTACCCACACCCCCTGGGCCACAACCTCTCCCCAGGACCAGCCACCACAGCCTCCCCCAGGCCCACCCAGCCCCCTCCCCACCAGGCAGCACCTCATACTGCTCCATGGCGGGGCAGGGCCCGGCCTCCTGGGGCAGGGGGTGCGTGTGGAGGAGCCCCCAGACTCAGCCGCAAGCAGGGCCAGGAGAGAGGCGCGGGGGGCGCCCCCGCTCCCC